GCTGAGTTTTAAAGAGTTTGGAAATCATTGTACTAGAAAAACCTAAAACTGTGTACAACTACTACTTAAGCAGCCTTGTGTAACTTGGTGGGGCTTCCAGAAGCTGCGAGGGCTGTGCAGGTTCCTGAAGCAGTGCACTGTGAGAGAGGAGAGAGTGGAATAGGGAGGTGGAAAGGCTCAGCTGCCAAATTCCAGCAGGACTCTTTGCTGGTCATTCTTCCTTCAGCAGCAAAGGTGATCCCTAGAAGAGTATTTCTTTTTACCAATTAAGTGCTGAAACTGCCTTCCCCAATGACTTCCAGACTGCCAACAAATAAATTTTCCAAAATACAAACTTGGGGTGGGGGAACACAGCATGACCATGACTCTTCTACTGAACTTTGTCACAGCTGGAATAAGGCAAGTTATGGATGAGAGAGTAGTTTGTGTGTGTCTGTGTCTTTGTCTATTCAGTGGGCTCAGAAGAAATTTATGGATATGTTGTATTGTAGCAGGGATCCAGATGTTCCCTAAATCTGAAACCAAGGAGACCATTTTCTTCATGAATTCAGCAGACTGACGTTTGTTTTCTTTTCAGTATCTGCATCTTAAGTACTATGATAAAAGATCAGCCCAGAAACCAAGCAGCTTGTTAAGGTGTTTACTAGTTTTGCTAACCATAAAAAAGGGCGTTCCCCAGTTCCCCATCAGCTGGGAGAAATCCTTCCCCACCCTCTCCTGACCATCCTCTTTCCCTCCCCCTAAGCAAGTGAATTTTAAATACCACTCTAAAGTTGTTGGCTGGTGACCTGGAAAATTCCTTTTGCTTTGTTATCCTGTTAATGGCCCATCAGTTTAAACCTCCTACCCCCAGAAACTTTCTTTCTCCTAACTAGACTGAAGAGGGAACAGAGATTTAAAAAAAAAAAAAAAATGAAAGAAAGGATTCCTATTTCTAAGGGCTTTGGGAAGATTCCAAGATGGCCAGGCCTGATTGGAAGGAAGGAATTTATTTGTCCTGATCAGTCTGTACAGCAGCTAGCAAATGTAAAAGCCAAGTAAATTAGGGTCTTACTGAATGACTTCAGAGGAAGGTGATAATTTTTGGATGCACTGGAAGCTCAGCTATGTAGGACTTTGGTGGACACAGGTCTTGTGGAAGACTTCTAATTCTAGGGGCGCCTGGGTGGCTCAGTCGTTAAGCATCTGCCTTTGGCTCAGGTCATGGTCCCAGGACCTGGGATCGAGCCCTGCATCAGGCTCCCTGCTCAGCGGGCAGCCTGCTTCTCCCTCCCCGCTTGTGTTCCCTCTCTCGCTGTGTCTCTTTCTGTCAAATAAATAAATAAATAAATAAATAATCCTAAAAAAAAAAAAAAGACTTCTAATTCTAGAAGCTTAGATTCGGACTTATGTTAGAGATGTGTAAACGAGGGGCGCCTGGGTGGCTCAGATGGTTAAGCATCTGCCTTCGGGCTCGGGTCATGATCCCAGGGACGGGGGATGGAGCCCCATGTCCGGCTCCTGGCTCAGCGGGGAGCCTGCTTCTCCCTCTGCCTCTCCCCCTGCTCGTGCTCTCTCTCTCTCTCTGTATCTCTATGTCTCGAATGAATAAATTTTTAAAAATCTTAAAAAAAAAAAAAGATGTGTAAACGAGTAAGTGTGTGAACGTCAGTCACCTTCCTTACTGTCATTTGAAAGGTACAGTTCATAAGGTACAGTTCATAATTGCTGTGGATCTTGTTATTGTTAGTTATAAAACCAACAGTTACTATTCACTGCATGTGCCAGGTATAGGGCTCAGGACTTTTCCTGCATTATCTCATTTAATTCTTAGCAGACAACTCCATGAGGTAAGTACTATTATTATCCCCATTTTAGAGGAAATGGAGGCTTAGGGAAGTGGTGCAGAATCCCACCTGGGTTCTCTGTCTTCTTAGCTCCTGCTCTTAACCACAACATTATGCTGTTTATAAATGACAAAGATGTAAGAAAACATAAAGAGGAAGCAGAGAGTGGCTAGACTATTCCTCCCTAGGGAAGGAAAGTCCACCTCCTGCTGTTCATGCAGGCCATGAAGTTGCCAAGTTATCAGGTCCTCATGAGAGGGGGACTGTCCTGCATATAATGTTATAAGCGGACCCTTGCCCCTAGCCTTTTGGATTTTTGGGAAATGGTTCTGACCACAAAGCACTATTCTTTTCTTCAGGTCTTGGTGTGTCAGTTTCCATTTCTCAGCTTCCAAAGCAACACACAGAAGCGCAGGGAAGTCAGAGGCCTTAACATGAACGCCCCGCCCTTTACCCACCTCTGCTGGCAAGTAGCATCTTGGGCAATTTTTCCCTCCCAAATAAGCTTTGTCATCTCTTACATCAACTGGGGCCACTAGCTCTCAGATCCATCTTCTGCAACCCAAAAATTCCCTGGGCCACTCCCTGCCTGGAGGGGAAGCAGCTGACCCAGGTAAGAGGCTGCCACTGGAATGGCATGCTGAGAAGAGAGCAAGCAGGGGAGAACAATGGGGTCACTAACACTGGCTGGAAAGCTTGGCAAAGATGACCTTGCTGGGGGCCTATCCTGGACAGAATTCCCGGGACCTGGCATGGGCTTTTATGCTCCCCTTTTTAGTATTTCTTTTGATTTATGAATTGATGTCCCTTTATCTAAAAAAATTAATATACAGTTGCTGTCAACAGTTTAAATAATAGGGTGATTAATGGAGAAAGTAAAAGTATGCCATTAATACAACACACTACCCTACCGTGTAGCTCCACCCCCGTGCATCTGCCCAGTCATCACTAGTAACAGTTTGGAATCTGTCCTTCCAGATGGTTCTGCTAGTGTCTGTGTGTGTGTGTGGTGGTTTTTTTTGTTGTTGTTGTTTTCAGATTTATTTATTTATTTATTTGACAGAGAGAGAGAGACAACGAGAGAGGGAACACAAGCAGGGGGAGTGGAGAGGGAGAAACAGGCTCCCCGCTGAGCAGGGAGCCCGACACGGGGCTCGATCCCAGGACCCTGGGATCATGACCCGAGCCGAAGGCAGACGCTTAACAACTGAGCCACTCAGGCGCCCAGTGTGTGTGGTGTTTATATAAATATCAGTGAGAAGATCCTGTTCTGTACCTTGTGTATCACAAGCATCTTTTGCATCTACCCGTACAGCTCTCCCCTTTTTAATGGCAGCACAGTATTCCACTTTAAGAATAGACCATCTTCCCTTTTTCCTAATCTCTGCTTTCACTGATCTTTCACTTCCTTGGGAACCTCTCTCAGCTCCCACTTAACATGCCGTCCTCTGGGTCCTGCCTCAGAGAACTGCACAAATGGGAAGGCGGTCAAAAGGTGGGAAAGGCGGTGGTGGGCCCCATATGGGAAGGAGTGGGGGCGGGTGAGTGTATTCTGTCCTGGCCATACTGGGGTACACAGGAAGTTCTTTCTCCTCACCCAGCCAAATGGTTCCTCTGTCTGCCTAAGGTAAAACCCCACATTTTATGGGAATCATCTCTGAAAATGACCAAGATCAATGCAGAGAAACATGAAAGGCTGTTTTCTTAGAGTTACACTCTTATCATTTGGGACGTGCACTCTGGGCGTGCACACTGTGGGGCTATGAGAATGACCAGGCCAGTCCCGTGCCTGCATCCAAGATGTGTTCACTCGAAGTACCCCATGCTCTTCTCTTGGTAGCTCTTCTGTGTGAGTAACAACTCCATTAGGTAGAAATTTGCTTCTTGTCACTGGAAAGGCACTCCAGCTTAGAGGTTTCAAGCTCTTGACCAAATTTGCTCTCTGTACCTCAGTTTCCTCATCTGTAAAATGAGGATAATAGTAGTACCTATCTAATTTGGTAGGGTTTTCCTCTGTAACTTAAATAAAATACATGCATGACATATTTGGTACATTATATGGTAGATGGCAAGTACTCAATGATGTGAATGATTATACACTAAGTCCAAATAGCTCTCACTGCACTTTAAACCTAGATTTTAGAGATCATCTAGGTCACTGGCTCTTGACTCTGGCTGCACACTGAAGTCAGCCAGGGAGCCTTAAAGAAAATGCCAGTGTCTAGGCTTCATTGTCAGAGATTCTGATAACATTGGTCTGAGGTGGGATCAGGGGGATCATTGCTTTTTTTTTTTTTAAGATTTTATTTATTTATTTGACAGAGAGAGACAATGAGAGGGGGAACACAAGCAGAGGGAGTGGGAAAGGGAGAAGCAGGGTTCCTGCAGAGCAGGGAGCCTGATGCCAATGGGGGGCTCGATCCCAGGACCCTGGGATCATGACCTGAGCCAAAGGCAGACGCTTAAGGACTGAGCAACCCAGGCACCTGGGATCATTGCTTTTGAAAATCACCCTGGAGAATTCTATTTTGCACCCAGGATTGAGACTACTGAATTTAGTTCAGTGTTCCGTTTCTAAGTGAAGCAAGTGTGAGGCCTGGAGCTGGGAAGGCACTTACCTGGGTTAGACAGCCAGACCAGAAGGACCCAGGTCTCTCTCATCCTGGACGCCAACCTCCAAAGCTTGTCCTTGGGAGGGAAATCCATCCCTGGAATGCCCTTTAGGTGGTCTTGGCTATGATTAGGGGTGCTGCCCCTGCTTCTAGTCTCTTTCTAGGTAATACTGCTGGACCCCTCTACCCATTCTTTGGTCACCAACTCAAGGAGGTCTTCCTATAGGAAGCTGCAATTCTAGAAAACCACCCTCCTTTATTACAGCATGTGAAATAATCCCTCCCTCCCATCCATCCATCCATCCATCCATCCATCCATCCATCCATCCATCCATCCATCCATCCATCCATCCATCCATCCACCATCCATCTTGAGAATCTAAGCCCCCTGGAGGCAGGGACAATGTCTGTTCTGTTCGTGTTGTACAGGGCCTAGGATGGTAACCAGCGCTTGTTAAAAAAAACATACCCATTAGATGACTGAATGAAGGAAATCCCAGGAGGGTGGTTGAATATTTTTTATTTTTCTGGTCCTAGCCATCTGATTCTCATTACTCCTACAGCTCGGGAAGCCTCTCTCTGCTTTGGCGTTTTATAAACCTCGTGTGCGTACGTTGACATTTTAACCATAAATCCAGAGTTTGGGGGCTGGAAAATTCGAGGCGAAGGGTTTGGGGGAGGGGGGTTAAAACTACCCGGAGGTCCGAAGCCGGCCCAGGGGTTGCCGGGGAGGCGGGGGACCGTGGGGCGGGCGCGCCTCCGCCCCCTGCCTGCCCCCTGCGCGGGCGATGGCCCCGGGCCGCAACATCCATCAGAGGGGTGCGCCGCAGCGGTCTCCTCACGTCCTCCGGGAGGGGACGCCGTGGGGGAGGGGACGCGATCCGGGTCGCGGCCGGGGAGCGGCTCGGGCAGCAGCCCCCGCATTCCGGCCGCGCGAGCCCCCGGAGGTGGCGCCTTGGGGAGGCTGTATTTTTTTTTTTCCGTCTTTTTTTTGAGCCTCAGGGGAGTGGTGGGAGGCGCGGAGGGGGCCCTGTGTGTGTGCCTTTAAGAGCCGGAGCGCTGCCCCCGCCTCGCAGGCGCCCGGAGCCTCACAAAAGAACAGGATGTTGTTGATTTGTCACCAAACCACAGAGAGGAAATGATTGTAAATTTCCTTTAAACATCCCCACCGCGCTCCGGCCGCCCCCGCTTCCTCCTCCGCCGCCCCCGCCTGGCCCGGCGCAGCGGGGCCTCGGCGCTCCCGCGGGGCGCCCGCTCCCGGGCCAGGCCACAGGCCCGGGTCGGCTCCGGGGCGCTTGCGGGAGGAGCCCCCCGCCCCCGCCGCGCCCCCGCCGCGCTCCCGCTCGCGTTTCAGTTGCTTTCTTCGGATTTGGGTTTTTTTTTTTCAACAGCTGCAGCAGAGAAAGGGCCATGCCCTGGAAGCACCTTAGCGTGCGCCCATCCTGTTTAGCCTTACAACCGCCCTGCAGAGGCAGTAATCATTAGTTCCAGTGCGGGGGGGGGGGGGGGGGGGGCTGAGGCCCAGGAGGGTTCCCTGAGTAGCCGAAAGTCACCAGCTCCTGAAACCTCTTGAGGGCTCTTGGAACGCCCAGTCTAGATTTGGTTCATCCCAGAGCATATGTTTGTAACCAGTCAGCCATACTGCCATGGGAACATTCTAGAAATGCCCACTCATCAAAGAAGTTCAAAGCAACAATGACTTCAGACCAGGTTATTTCATGAGGAGCATCCCCCACCATGTCCAGCTGGGCACCTGTCTTTCAGGAGCTGTTTGGGTCTCTGTTCCACCTGTGCCTTTATGTGCCTTCATGCACCTTCCCGTCTTCTGGCCCCTTCCCCATTGTTTTGAATGATTTTTGAAAGCCTCTGGTGGAGTTAATGTTTGCTCCCAACTTGCAGTCCGTGGTAGAGTGGTCAGGTCTGGTCTGTGGTGCAGGGAAAGGCTCCTTTTGCTGTACAGAGTGTTCTTTCTGAGCAATTAATGCTTATGATTCCGGCATTGGCTGCACTGGGGTTCTTGGCTTGAATATAGTTAATGCCCCAGGCGCTGTTCATTCTCTCCTTTAATCCTTACAGTAGCCCCCTTGGACCTTGCTGTTCCCTTAATACAGATGAGGATACTGAGGTTCAGAGAGGTTGAGGAGTTGGACCAGCTCACGCTATGTAAGTGGAAGCACCAGGACTCATCTGGTTACCACGTGCTGATTACTTGTGGTGTCTTTTTTAGTACTTTAAAACTGATTATTTGGTTAGGAGAACGGGTAAGGATGGGAGCACAGGATACTTTTGCTGGGTCCTTTGTCACCTTAACTTCTGGGGAACTCTAGGCCAAATCTTACTTTCTGCAAAAAGAGCACCTGAGTGACTCACACCCTCAGACTGGAATCTTCCCTTTGGGGCCTGGTGAGGGCCTGAGTGGCTTGGACCAAGAGGGGGGCCGGTGTGGGCTCTGAGTTCTTTCCATACTACCTGAACAGGACCATGGAAACTTAAAAAAAAAAAAAAATTGTCTCGTGCTGTATTCCTAAGGCTTCATTTGTGAGACCCTTAATTCTCAGCCCTACAGGGTGCCGGGTGGATGGGGGTGGGGTGCTAGAAGCTTGTGTTTGAGTCCAGATATCATCAGTGCCATATAACTTACTGTTCCCGTGTGCCCGCTCTGTGCCCGTGGACTGCGCCAGGGGCTATCTATGTGCTTTCTCATTCCATCCTAAGATGGTCCTAATGAATGAGAAGTCAGTACCCAGAGAGGCTGTCCACCTAGGAATGGTGGGTAGCTGGGGTTTGCAGCCCCCTTGTGTGTGTGTGCAAGAGGAAGTGCCAGCTATCTGGCGTCCCAGAAATGGGACAGCCGTGCTTGCCTTCAGTCGTGGAGCAGGCCAATAGGGTCCTTAATGCTGGCGGATTCGGAGAGAGAAACGCGCTGGCCTTTGGCCCCCCTGTGCTGCAGCTGTCTGGAGTTCGTCACCTCTGAGCGCATTTGTCGAGGGATTTCCAGCGTTGCTGCAGTGTCTCCACCTGTCCTTTTTGCTTTTATAGATTGCCAGTCACTGGGGCATCCGGGTCCCGAGCACTTGGGAGGGAGAGCCAGCTGCTTAATTCTTTCCATTCCGCAGATGAGGAACCCAGGGCACGAACATGCCGAGTTGTTGGTCTGGGCCGGCCAGCTTGATGCAGAGCAAGACGGAAGGAGTCAGGGCCTCAGCCTCTGCGGCTGCTCGGTTCTGGGGAAGCAGGGCCCGGAGGGTAGGTCATCTGATGTCTCTTGGCCTCAGTTTCCTAGGCTGTGCCAGACTGTGGCCTGTGTGGTCTCTGATGGCTCTTCCAGTCATCATCGTCCAAAGAGTAGCTTCTGTTTACTCATTCGGTTAATATTTATTAAACATCTGCTCTATGCCGGGCACCTCTGCTGTAGGTGCTGGAGAGACAGCAGAGGACAAAACAAAAGCTCTGTCTTCTCGGGGTGTACCTCTTAGGTGGAGACCAAAAAAAATTAAACACATGGATATATGAAATGTCAGGTAGTCCTTCGTGCTCTGGAAGGTAAAATGAAGATCCTGGGCGGCGGGGGGGTGGAGTGGGTGGGGGGGTGGGGGATGCCGTGTGTGAATACAGGAGGAGCGGTAGTGTTTTATTTAGGGTCGTAAGGGAAGGCTCACTGATAAGGTGACATTTGAGAAGGGAGGGAGAGTGAGCCCGCCTGCCTTGTGAGGTTTGCTATAGGTAGTTGGAATGACAGAGATAAGGACCAGGAGATGGGAGTGTGTGGCATAGCACTCACACTGTGATAAAGGCAGGATGTTATTTACTCCTCTTAGTGCTGTGTTTTGAGGAAGCTGAGACTCAGAGAGGTTTAGTGACTTGCCCAAGGTCGCACAGCTAGTAGGGGGTGGAGGTGAGATTCTCATGCTAGTCTTAACCTTCATGCCGTTCCCACTCAGGGACTCTTCTTTTGGAGCTGGTGTTTAATTTTGGACCTAGTTCCTGTGATTTCTTGGGGATTAAGTGTCAAAAGTGGCCATGACTCCTGGCCCCTAAGTGGCCTGGGGTTGGGGAAAGAGCTGAGGGCCTGAAGTTCCTTTTTGTGGGTGGAAGAAGGTAATACATTTGATGCTGGAAAACCCCATGTTGTGTTTATGGCAGAAGGGGGAAAAACACCTTCAGATTGGTGTAAACAAGAGAAATGGGAGAATGGGGTAGACTGAATCCCTCCACCCCCCTCCTTCGTTTTAATTTCCCCATGATGGGCTCAACACAGCATGTTGTATTATACAGCGATAATTAAAACACTTGGATTAGTGAGCTGAGATTTATAGGGCAAACAGGAGCCAGAGGAGAAACGACAGTCATGTCTTTTATTTGCAGGCAGATATCCAAATTGCCACTTGCTTGCTTTTTCTTCCTGACACTATCACCTACTCTGCTTAATTAGATTCTTTTTTTTTCTGTATCATTTCCAACGCCCGCTCAGCCTGCTGCTCAGCAGCGAGTTGAGGAAGCTGTATCCTGAACCCTTTGCCACAGCCCAGGGAAGATGAGTCAGGCACGAGGCAAATCCAAGCCAAAGAGCGTACCTTGGCTTCAGCCTGTGGAGCCCACCTGTCTGTCAGCATCCTGGCGCAGGACTGGGAGGGCGGAACCCAGGGCCACCGAGAAGAAGCACCACACTCCTTCCAGTCCTGCTCAGCTTTCCATGAAGCACCCTTTTCCTCGTGGGGAACCGAAAAAGCCCATTCCCCAAACGGCAGACCACCCCCAACATATTCCATTTCCAAACAAATAGAGTAAAATCATGTTCCCAGATTTTTATTGAATATTTTACTCTCTTCAAAGCATCATCATAGACTCTGGTGGGGGTGAGGGGTAGGAGGGACTGAGATGAACAAATGGCTGTGTCCAAATTCACCATCCAGTAGGAAGAAGAGTTGAAAATAGCTGATGAGAATTTTTGGCCAAATTCATACGTTTGATAAGTATTTATTGAATAGCTAGTGTGTATCAGGCATTGTTCTAGGTGGTTGTGGGCCACAGTAGTGGCAGAACGCCCCCCAAAATTCCTGTCTGAGTTTCCCAGCTCTCGGGGTGGGGGATTGGCACGGCAGTGACTTCATTCCTGAAGAGCAGAAGAACCATGAAGAAAAATTGAGTGGGGAAGGAGAGTGCTGAGGCTGGTCCTTTTAGAAACCAAGAGGGAGAACGCGGTGTGTCCTGGTGGAGACTGACAGATCTGACAGGGAATCTGGCCTTCCACACCTGCTGTGTGACCTTTGTTTCTACGGCCAACTGGTCTGAAGCTTGCTTTTCTCATCCATACAGTAGGGCGAGTCGTAGACACTCATAAAGGGATTCAGTGAGGCAAAAATATACAAATATAAATAATAGATAATAAATAAATAAATGATAAATAACATAATAAATAATAAAAAATATATAAAACGCACGCCTAATTAGGGCTCTGTGAGTACTTGCTCTTTTCAGCATTATGTGCTTATCATAAGGTGACGAGGAGTGGAAGGAACAGTGAAAGAAAAGGGTTATGATCCATGTCACCTTCCCCCCTTCCAGTAATCACGGTTTGCCCATCCACCAGGAATGCAAGAGTGCAGGTGAGCTCTTGCAGCAGAATTAGGACTGCAGAGGGTTTAGGTCAGGGTTTGGTATGTGGGCTGTAGGTGGGAGTTTGAGGATTGTCGATTTTTGCATTCTGTCTAAAAAATTATTTTCCACGTGCTTGGTGTTCACCCTGATACTCCACAACAAGCTTGGCAGGGGGGCTGGGGCTGCCCACTTGACAAACGGGAAAACAGGCACAGGATGTGAGTGCCTGGCCAAGGTCACCTCCAGTCTCCAGAGGAGATCTCCTGCCGGCCTCGAGATGAGTCATCCTGGAGTGTTGTTCCCGGGGTGAAATCACAAAGGAAGGAAGGCTTGGATTTATTGCAGGCAGCCCGGGAAGTTTCCTGTTCTTGAGAAATCTCAGAAACAGTAACTCCTCCACCTTTATTCTTCTGAGGTCAGTCTACTGATGAGCCCCCAAGCCTCCAGAAGATACGGTGTCTGATGGGGGGTGAAGGAGAGGGTAGAAAGCCTTTGACATAAGCAGAGGAGAAAAAAGGAGAAGAAAGAGTGTCGGGGTTGAGAGCTTGGGCCCTGGGGTCAGATAGATTTGAATTTGGTAGTTCTGCCACTTAACCAGCTTGGGCAAGTCATATGACCCTCTAGGACCCTTAGTTTCCTTGATTGCAACAGTCCATAACTCACAGGCTGTTAGGAAAGTGAACTAAGATGGTGCGCGCCAAGTGTTTAGCCAAGTGCCTGGCTGTAGGAGGCCCTTAGGAAGGTGAATTGTCATTCCTGCAGTGGAAAAGGGAGCAGCTGGGTGAGGGAGAGGGGGTGACAGGGCCCCCAGGTTGTGCAGCCCTCTCAACACTGCACCATTTAGCTGACGTCTTGAAGTTCTTTCCACCCAAGGCTTCTGGAGTCAGTCTCCCAGCAGGTGCCATCGTGGCCTTCTAGGAGTTTATGCTGGGGCCAGCAGAGCAGGACCAGACAAGTATCCGATGTCTTCCTGCCGTTGCTCACCCATCCTGGCATCATGGTTCACTGGGCATGGCGGGCCTGAGAGGGGCCCCCCTTGGTTCACTCTCTCCCCCTCCCTTTAACCTTTGCTTCTCTGGCTCAGACCCATTATTCGTCCTATTGCTGTTGACTCCATGTAATGAAAATAATTGAGCCTGTCTCCACCGATGACTGTCTAGGAACAAATCAAGCCCGCCCCAGTCATCCGCCTCCGACTGAACACACCCCACCTGCTGCAGACGGTCCTGGTTGAGCTCGCAGGACCTCGGGCCTTAAACCCAGGCTGCAGTGCTAGATGTACTTCCCAGGGTGGCTGACACCCTACTGGGCAGCCTCATGGTTTGCTGAAGGGTGTCTAGGCGTTCTGGGACCAAGGTGCAAAAGCTCTGAGGACACCTCTAAGCATTTATCTGAGGCCCTAATTATTGTGTTCTCCAACTGCGCATCTGCCCTTCATCCTCCAGCCTAGCTTCCTTGCCACCCCCTGCCCCACTGGATGTAGGTGATCTCTGGAAAACAGATAACAGAGGGGGCTGAAGAGTTGCCTGGGCTTGGGGTGGGGAAGCTCCCGAGGCGTCGGATTTTTCTGATTTTTATGTAAATGGTTCCAAGCGCAGCTGTCGCAGGAGCAACACTGCCCAGCAAGAGTGAGAAGGGCAGGGTTGTTGATTAGAGGAATCTTATTTAATTGTATTATTCTAGTCCAAAGCCCCATTTATGTTTGTATGTTTTGTTAAGATAATATCGCAGTCTTAAGTGGAAACACCACCACCACCGCGGGTCTTATCTCTAGAAGGGCCCTGCCCTTTGGCCTGCTATGCATTCTCTTCCCTATCCTTGCCCATATGCACATATGCACATACGGTGAACTGGCTCTCCCGGGGCCAGGATTGTGCTCCATGCTTACATATTTTCCACCAAATTCTTGCAATAAGTCTAGAAGGAAGGAATTATTATCCCTGTTACTTTAATGAAGAGACGGAGGCTCTGAGAAGTCCTTCGGCAGAACTGAGATTCAGACCCAGGCCCGATTCCATCCAAAGTCTGCAAATTTAGGGACGTATATGACTTTTGTGACCGTGTTTTGCACTCACCATTATATTATAGACATTTCCCCGAGTTCATCTATAGCCTTCCTAATGACTGTTGAAAATAGGACCCGAAGATGCCCTGCAGCAGCTTTGTGTAGCCATTTTCTCCTTTTGGGCACTCGTGGACAAGAGCGTTGGCTGAGGGCTGCTGAGCCGTGGTGGTAGAAAAGGGCGCAGTATGGAGGGTGGAGGACTGGGCTGTTGGAACCAGAAGCGCACCGCAGCTGGCGGAGGGGAGCACGCAGACCTCCACTCACTTCCACACGCGACACTTGGGTTGGCGGACCCTGCATTCCTTGCTCTCGATTTCAGCTGTGTGAATGGGTGTGGGGCTGGGTCCGGGGGCAGCAGCTGTCTGTCTGCTCAGGTGAGGGTGGAAGGGAAGGAGCAACCCTCTTGAGGTCCATAGAAGAGGAGTTTCTATCCCCATTTTACAGAAAAGGAATCTGCGTCTCAGGGGAGGTCAAAAGACTTGCCAGAGCACAGCTCTGAAGGAGCAAGAGGAAGAACAGGGTGTGGGCATTCTGACTCCTCTGCCCTTCTCCTCCGTCAGCTTGACCTTTGTTTTCCCCTCCTCTGGCCATCTCCTCCGGACGGCTTTTCTTCCTGATACAGGGCGGTGCTCCCCGAGCAGACGCCCGTGTGCACATCCAGGCTGGATACAGCTGGTACGACAGGGCTAGCCCCATGGAGAAATTGGTTTCTAAAGAAGGGCAGCGTAGCTGGCAGGGAAAACCAGGAAATTGTTTCTTAAGAACTTCCCAGGCACGGGGGTGCTCGGGGTGGTGCAGTCAGTTGGGCATCTGACTCTTGGTTTTCTGCTCAGGTCATGACCTTAGGGCCTTGAGATGGAGCCCCACGTTGGCCTTGGGCTCTGCACTCAGCAGGGAGCCTGCTTGAGATTCTCCCTCTCCCTCTGCCCCTCCTGTTCATGCTCTGCCTCTCTCTCTCTCTAAAATAAATAAATCTTTAAAAAACAAACAAACAAACAAACAAAAACTTCCCAGGTACAAGGTGGGGGTTATTTTGTTTTGTTTTGTTTTTTTCTTTTTGTCTCCTTGGCCCAGGATGGAGATGTTGGCTCAAGTTCCTCCTGTAAATCTTTAGGATTTATTTATTTACTTATTTATTTTAAAGATTTTATTTATTTATTTGAGAGAGAGAGAATGAGAGAGAGAGCATGAGAGGGGGGAGGGTCAGAGGGAGAAGCAGACTCCCCGCCGAGCAGGGAGCCCGATGCGGGACTCGATGCGGGACTCGATCCCGGGACTCCAGGATCATGACCCGAGCCGAAGGCAGTTGCTTAACCAACTGAGCCACCCAGGCGCCCCAATCTTTAGGATTTAATGCAGCCACTCAGCCTCTGTTCAGAGAAGTGCGGTGCTGCTAGAAACACCTTTTTCGAGTCCAAGCAATGATCACTACCCATTTTTTTTTTCACAGTAGAAACGCCCTGAGTCCTTTAAAAGAACGTTGGCAAGCAGCATTGTGTTCTTAGAATGACAAGACAGTTTTAAGGGAAAAACAAAACGCATTGTTTATGTCAGCGCTGCAGCTTATCAATATGAAATGAAGATGAAGATTCGTTTATGTCAATAGACCGTTTTTTTTTTGGTGGGGGGGTTGTTAAAAATTCATATATCTTTGCTAATGGAACCATTTCCACATTCACAATGTGTCGGGGGGAGAGAAAAACAAGGCTCATAAAACCTTTCCTGGAATAACCAGAAAAGGAGTCCCTGAAAACACAAACTTGTGGTATTATCTTTGCATATTAGCAAAATTCTAGCTTTCGAATAGCATGTTGTGGATCTAGTCTGCTGTTACATTAGTTTAACATCGTCTTTTGTGTACGTGTTTTTTTAAAGATTTTATGTATTTGAGAGAGAGAGCAGAGCTAGAGAGAGAGCAGAGTGGGGAGGAAGACAGAGGGAGCAGCAGGCTCCCCGCTGAGCGGGGAGCTCACTGCCTCGTGGTGCTTGGGTTCAATCCCAGCGGTGTTCGAGCTCGATCCCAGGACCTGAGCCGAAGGCAGACGCTCAACCCACTGAGCCACCCAGGCATCCTCTTTTGATTTATGCTTTTCCTAGACCTGTGCTAGCCTACTTTGCACTCACTGTGGCCTTGAATGCCACCCCCACCTGCCTTGGAAATAGCCAGGGTTCCTCTGTGCCTCACTTTATGAAAACACTATGAGAAACTAGAGTTTTCCAACGTAAGGGCCCTAGAGCCGTAGTTATGAGTGATGACCAAACGCTGAAAGCCTCCTCATAGGAAGTTAGTGGCAGAGGCAGGATTTGAATCCAGCTTTGGATGACCCATAACACATACTGTTTTGCACTACCCCGTTTGCCTTAAATTAGCAAACTGGGCTGAGCCCCTTCTGTGGAGTAAGTCGCCTTGTTAGGATGGCACCTTGAAGGAAATGCTAAGGTGAGTCAGAATGTTCACTCTTTTCAAGGCACCTGCAATCTAGGGTGGATTGGAGGGTCATCCTTCATTATATAGAAACAATTATTAATTTGTAATCTTCATTTTACAGATAAGGAAACCAAATCGAAGAGGTCAAGTGACATGCCCAAGGTCACATAGCTTTGATATAACAAGACTTTTCTTAGGTGGTTGTTGCCAGAAGTCCACAGTAGTCCAAGCCCCTTATGTAGACCATCACATTCCTACATGCAAGGCAGGCAAAGGTCAGAACTGCACTTAAAGATCAGACAGAGGCCAAGGTGGCAAGTGCTTGGAGGGTATGTGCTCAATGCTCCTGAACGGAGTAGAGATTCCAAAAGAGCTTTTTCCCTGCAAGATGGCTGTAGGCTCCTGGGTCCATTG